GGAGAACCCGGAGAGAACCCACGCTGCACGGGGAGAACATGTCACACAGAAGGATCCCGGACGTCCTCACCGGGACGTGAACCGTCGACCTTCTAGCTGCGAGGCGACGATGCTGAAATAACTACTGAATATTTAAACTATAACAAATCAAGCAGCAGCGTTTTGTTGCCTCATTTGTTTGTTGTTGTCGCGCCTCACTAATGTAAACAACAAAAAAGTCAGTTTATCTTATCTTCAGCTGAATAATAATAATAAAAGTTGTGCATGAGATGTGGTGTTTATACTGTTAAAAGTGGAAGAGTTACCTGGTCAGCATCGATTTTCTTCTTAATCTCCTAATGAATAACCACCTTCTCATTTTGTCTGTGTCCGTGCAGGTAAATACCAACCAGGTGTGGACCGTCCCGATCCAAAGACATGGAAAGCTAACTTCCGCTGTGCCATGAACAGTCTGCCAGACATCGAGGAGGTGAAGGACAAAAGCATCAAAAAGGGAACTAACGCCTTCAGAGTTTATAAGATGCTCTCGTCCATGGAGAGGAGCTTGAAAAAAGGTGAGTGCTGCTGCTGCTGCTATGGCGGTAACTCTTTTCATATTCGCTCTCCTATTACAATCCCTGCAACATGCTTTTAATCGTTTTCTAAAGGATGTTTTCGTGTTTGCCCTACAGGAAAGAAGAAGATGGATAAGGAGGGGAAGTCCAAAGCAAATAAAGAGGTAGTTAAACATGGAAAAGCCCTTCTCACACATGGAGACCACAACGCGAGCTGTTGTTGGCACATTTTCAGACACATTTACAGATTCTGCAGCACTGCTAAAAAAAAAACCAAAAACCAGCAGTCTGAGGAGAAATAACAAAACCACAAAACAACAATACTTTTCTAATTTCTCACTCAGGCCTTGTAGTTAATTTGAGCAACAAACAACCTCCCTCCCCCCACAAGTTTGGGAATCCAGAAAGAGTTTACTGAGAAATGTTTTTTACCTTCGTTCCTGCCAAGACAAAGAAAAACATTTCTGGAAATGTTACTCAGCTTTGAGCTGGCAATCTGCCAGATTATCTGACTCGAACAATCAACGCCGGCTCCTGTCCCCGCATGACACAGAAACGTACCGGAGAGTAAGAGCAGTAACCGAGCCTTTCTTCCCTCATTTGGTTCTTTCTCTCCAAGTCATTTACAAGTTAAACCAGTAGCTCCTGCTCACATGGAACTGGTAGCTAAATCCCAGAGACGTGAGCAGAAGAAATAAACTCACATTCTGACCTCACTTTCTACAAGCGCTTGATCTAACAAGTAAAGAATTAAACCAGTAGCAGGAATGCAGAAATCCCAGCAGTTTCTCACACTGTTGAGTCGGCTGAATATTATTTCATGGATTTTTATTTTTTTTGACACGAGGTGGTTGGAAACAACGCTTGTTTAATATTTGGCAGGTTGGTTTAGTATATATGCGCCGGGTTCATTTGTGTGTTTACATGCCTGAAATGCTTCAAATGTCAGGTTTTATGCTGGTGTCGCTGTACTCGGAGCAGCAGCAGCAGCTTCTTATCGAAGCATTTGTACACCTCCAGTTTAACTTATAGCTGAACATCTGAGGGATCCTGTTGTTTGTGAGCTGGGTCTCTACGTCCTGGCTGTCATCTCCAAGTTTTCTTCACTATTCCTCTTCATGAAGTTTTTGTGTTTATGAGTCAATGTGTAAATTGCCTTGTGCTTATCGGTGTGCATGTACGAACAAGATGTCTTCCTGTGACGTGTACAGCTCACGATATCAACTTGTAATAAATCTTTTCTGTGTCCTTTTTCCACTCAGGAAGCCTCTCCGTGTCCAGACAGAACTCCTTTCGAAGCCCATGCCGCACCTGTTGACTACACCAAACAAGAACTGATCAAGCAGGAAGCAGTGGAGCTCACAGTGACCGACAGCGCGTCAGGTATGACAGCAGCACCTCTGGGACACAGTTCAGAGGCTTGCATTAGAGGGAGAGATGCAGCATTTCTAAACACAGTGACTGAACCCTCCAGTCTTCCATGCTTCTGTGCATTGGGAAAAATACAGTAGAAGATCGTACCTGTTTACTGTTTTTGTTTAGCAGAAATGCATTAGGAAGAGAGTTTGTTGTGGTTCAGATTACTTCTCGTTTACTTCAGCTGCGCTCTAAGCGTCAGGTTGCACGTTTTATCAAGACGCTACACCCAGATTTGCAGGCGCTGGAGTCGATGATGCTCACCGTCATCCATTTTTTGTTTATGCTTTTACATCTGACTTTCTTTGTGTGTCGTACTGAATCCTGTCTGTCCGTCTTCAGTGGTTCCCAGTTCGGTGGACGACAACGTGATCACCAGCGAGCAGCTGCCGTTCGTCTGCCAGACGGTGGAGGTGACCACTGAGAACGAGGAGCAGACCGTCAGCTCCTCCCACTCGTACCCGCTGCAGATCTCTCCCGTGTCCTCGTGCTGCGGTGAGCCGATCGCGCACGTCGACACTCTCCTCACACGCAAGAGTTACGGGAGGAAGCATAAATAGGGCAGCTTACAGGGGAGCAGGCTTTCCGAAGCACTCACTTTTCAGCTATTCGGAACGTTGTTGACCACAGAAGATGCTTTTTTTAGATCGTTGTGGTTACACTACAAACAAAGGAGCTTCTCTCTTGGAGCAGCGAATGTTGTGTGTGCGTAAAAACACAGCTTTAAATGGCTGTCAGGCTCGAGACAGGTTTGGTTTATTGTAGGTAGACTGTGTTCTTCCATAGCATTAACACTGTCCATACTGTGTGTTCTGTAGTCTGTGTGGTTTATGCATTCCACTATTTATCTCTACCTGTAGACTTAATGATCTATTCTATGTTGTATGCACATCTATACATTAGTACGCTCTGTTTATAGTGTAAATAATCCACTTTACTGCTGCTTTAGCTCCTCTGGTTAGCTGCTGGACTGCATTTCGTTGCCTCTCTGACCTAGCAGGCAGCACAAAAGACAACAATGTGCTTCAGCCGGTGACCTGATGAACTGTTAACATCGGTCGCCTCATCACCCGACTAAGTGTTTGCACCTTCTGTTCTGCAGATCGTATCTCGAGTCGGGGAACTTTGGCAAACAGGCTGCGTGTTAAGAAACAAGATCATTAAGAAACAACATAAAAAATAAAACCACACGCTGACGACTAAACATGAAACACTTCATTTGAGGAAATAAAAATAAAAAGAGAGTCAGATTTGAATCAAGGGTAGAATGAAAGGATTGCTCCTCCTGTTGAATAGATCCATAACATAAATTCTCAGGGGAGGCTACTGCTGAGATGTCATTGGATTGTTTTGTCTATATTCATAATTTTATCACCACCCTTACTTGTGTTTATCGTATCTTCTTTTTTTTTTCTTGCCTAACCAGCCTTTCAGGCAGAACTGGCTCTAGTTTGTCTCACTTCCTCACTGCTGTTCATGTTTGATCTTTCGTAAATCAAACTTAAAGTGTTAAAGTTAAACTCCTTGTTTTAGCTTTTTGTGTTTGTTTACTTAATTTAACATAAATGTAGTCGTGCTGCTGATGGTTTAAACTCTAAACCGTGTTGATTAACTGCTTCTCCGTCGCCCGATGTGTGTGTGATCTAACAGCAAACTTGCCCTTTTCTGAGCACGGTTCTGACTTTGTGTGTGTTTTATTTGTGCAGGCAGCGACACGGACAGCGATACAGAAGAGATCAAAGAGGTTAGTTTCTCATCAGCTAACACGCAACAGAGAGACATGAATGAATCACTAACCGATCTGATTTTCACTTAAACAGGTTTTTACCTGTTTCAACTTTACTGCTGAAAAAGGGCGTGTGAGCGTCCGCGTGTGTGTGTGTGTGTGCGCTCGTTCTATCTTTGTGAGAACCGGTGCGTGAGTGTGTTTACCAGTGCTTGGCACCTTTGTGAGCTCCTGTGTGAGTTATAGACTTTGGGAAAGTGAGGACAGATTCAGTGGTGTCACTTTCTGACTGAGAAACCTCAAAGAAGTGTTTGTTTTAGGGGTAAGACTTTGTTGTAGGGTAAGCATTAGGTGTGTGTGTGTGTGCGCGCGAGTGTGTGTGTGTGTTCCTTCCTGTAATATTGCGAGAGTGAGAAAAGGGAGGGCTTTGTCAGGAACTGTTGCTGTCAAACATTAACAGTTTGATTTGAGTCCTTTGTTGTTCATTATACCACACAGTGTACACACGCTCGTGTACACACACACCAAACACACACACACACACCACCAACTACCGACAAACACAACGAGAACATCACTGTTTATCACCACGTGTACATGTTAATGTGAAAGTTCAGCTGTGGATAATAATAGTCTCCAGGAAATGCAGTTTTCAGACATGTGAAGCGTATAAACGTTCAAATATTTAGAGTGAGTCACGGAGCTGTTGATTCAGCTGTATGTTAGTATTTGCTGCCGTTTGTTTGGCGTTTCCGATACATTCCGGCACAATTTCGTCTCAACATGCGTCAGAAATTAGCCGCAGTCTTTGTTGTGTTTACTTTTGCTTCCACAGCTGAAGTTGCGTTCCTCTTTCCAGTCTCCTTTCTTGCCGTTTTGACTTTAAACACTGAAAACAAACTCCCCCAGCCGCGGCGGTGTGATCGCTAAAGCCGTCCGCTCTGCTCTGATCCCACAGGGTATCGGTGCCGTGTGGAGGCGGGACTACAGCACGTCGGTCCTCAGGATCCCCAGGTGTTCTCTCCCCGGCATGGCCACCTTCGTCAGTCCCAGCAAGCCCAACTTCAGGGTCACCAGCACGCGAGACCCGGCGCCTCTCATCAGCTACCACAGCGACGGCTGGACGCAGACCTACAGCCAGAACTCTCTCATGTCCGCCGCCACCGCTCACACCCACGAGATGCGCGCGAGTGTCATCATGAAAACCTCCGACGTCACCTCGTCCTGACCTCTGACCTCAGACGAGGGAGCCACATCACTGCCTCCGGGGCGCAGGGATGACAGAGAATGTTTGTTTTCTCCGTTAGGGCCACGTTGGGGCCTCGAAAGGGGCAAACTTCCACACCTTTGATTTATCGTAGCACCTGTCTGGGCGTCGGTTCTCTCGGTTTTCACTTTCACTTGATTGGTGTTAATTAACTTAGCTGGCAAGATGTGAGCACTTCAGGTGAATCTACTTTTTGCAACGGACCTGCGTGATGTAAATGCCATCGGCTTCCCTCGTGTGTGGGAGAATTTGCAGCCCACTTATTGTATATATGCAGGATGAAGTTTAGAAACAAATGGACAAGCGTGTATGCAGAACTGGGTGCGCCCCCCCTCCAAGTCCGTTTGAGAGTTTATCTGGCCCTTTATGACCCTTAATCATCCATGTGTCGCTGGAATCGCTGCTTTGTGGCAACACTTTAGTGGAATCATTTTATTCATATGGCACCTTTTTTTAAAAACAGAGTTTACAGACAGGAAAAAGAGAAGGATTCTCAGGAAGATCAGTGCAGACAGAAATAAAAAAACTGTAAAAAAAAAAAAAAAAAGAGACCAGAGAGGCTAAAGTGGAGAAATAGAGTTAAAAAAATATTTACAAAATAAATCAACACCAGATGAAATAATAAAAATCCAATTATGGAAAAAGTAGAATAAAAGAAAATACAGGATGAAGACAAGACTAAAAGTTCTAATAATGGTAATAATTATTAATTGATTATGTAAATAAGTCCATTTAAGGCTAAAAGAGCATAAAACCAATACGATAGATAAAATGTACTCACTGTTGGATGAAAAAAATCCACTTTTACTGATGAAAGGAAAACATGCTTTTAGTTTTGAGGAGTTCTTGAGGCTTCAGCCTGCAGATGAGCTCGTTTTTATTAAATCCGTTATGCGTGAGTCAGTATTTTAGCACTTATCGTTTGAAATTCATCAGCTGTGTGTCGATTTCCTTTACCTGTGTTGGCATAAACTGCTTCACTGGAGACACGTGGATGGGAAAAAAAAAGATTCCTCGAAGTTCGTATTCATACTTTATCTGTTTGGGAGGAAGCTACAAAACGAATCAAAGGCGCGTTGTTTAATCAGAGTGACAATCATTAGGCCCTGCTGTGGCCCACGGTGGAAGGCAGGCGTTTGTTTTTTATTTTTTAAATCTGTCTGCCTGTCTGGAGACCTCAGGACAATGCACTCGCCAACCAACAGACAGATGGACTGACTGACTGACAGACGGTGAACAACCTACTCGTGTCTTCTGCCTTCCTGGTGTTAATAATGTACATAGCTCATGTTTGCCTGCAAAGCCGCTACAAGCACCTTACGGACAGCACTGGCGTGTTTGTGTGTTTTTGTTTTTGTTTTTGTTTTTGTGTGAAAGATGGAAAGAAAAGCCTTATCGATGACGTGTGCCTTTTGTGACTGGATTCAAACTCGTCTGCGCTTTAGCCTGCTAGCAGGTCGTTTAGGTCGACGTGACGAGGCCGGGGGCGCCCGATGGGAGGCTCAGAGAAATAAAGAAGTGGTCGGAATTTGAGGACGTTGGCCTCGAGGACAGTTAGAGGAAGAGACGGCAGGACTTAACCGCAGAGCTCCAGAGTTCACCTAAACGTCTTGAGTTGGCTTTAACTGCACCCACAATCCATTTTACAGTCTGCTAGTGTATTTTGCTGCTGATTTTAGCTGCACGAGTCCATCACGTCCACCTTTTCATCCCTAATAGAGTCATCTGGAGCTCTGCAGTGTCTCATCTTAAAGTCCTGAGATGTTTGAGCCTAAAAATGTAAATCCTGCACATTTGGGTTCAGGTGTTTAGTCCTGGTGAGCGTCGCCGTCCTCTGGGTTCGCTGGCAGCTAGCAGGCTGAAGCACAGGTTTCAGGAAGAAGTAGTGCAAATAGGAATCTGCAATGTCTCAAAAAAAAAAAAAAAACAAACTCCTGGAGAATTTAACACTGGACGCACATAACTTTCATGGTGATTCTCGCTGAATCCGAGGGGTTTGGGGCTCGCTTCACTGTACACAACATTTCTTCTACGTGCCTTCGCTTTAAAAAGGTTTCTCTCGGTGGTTACAGTTCACGATAGTTCTCTGTGGGTGATATTTAAAGCGCTGTATACTAATAACTTTGCCGATAGCCATAACAAACACCTGCCTTTCTGTTCTTCAGTAATTCTTTTTTTTTTTTCCTGCGGTGGTCACATCCTCTCTGAGTGTAATAATGAAAAGGAACAGCTGATAATAGACTGTTGGTGACGTTGAAATGTGCCAAATTTGAGGATATTTTTTATTTTTTACGACCGATTTATGTTTTCAGCGTTGAAGCATCAGACCCTAATTTGCATCGCCTTAAAATAAAAACACGCCCGACGGGGTCGTCACAAAGACAGAATAACTGAAGTGCACTTTTTACATGGTTGTTGATTTTTGTTCTGCGACGTGTATGAAAGGGAACTCGACCCGAAAGTCAGCAGCCGACGACTTTACAGTGATCGTGGTCGGTTGACGTTTCCAACCTGCTTGTGCTTTATTTGATTCTGCCGAGGTGTGTCTCTACTCTTTGCACTTACCATAAAAGAAAAAAAAGAAATAAATCAACATTCAGTTCAAAGGAAAACAGATGAGCTTCTTCATGGTCTCCACTGTATGTTCCCTGTACATTAACCTACATGTGAATCGACATGTAAATCTGAATAAAGACTTTTTATATTTAACCCCCCCGGCCTGTTGGGAGTGATTTACGAGGAGAAGTTTTTAATTGCTCTCTGGTTATCTTGTTCAGAAAGATCAGAGTCCGGCTTTATGGCTTCTCAGAGAACTTGTGTATCTGTTGTTAAGATAAAAAATGTTCCAGTGAAAACAAAGTCCTCCGCAGCGAGGCCACTTTCCCTTTGCAGGGAGGTTTGGGTTTAGAGGTCAGGCCTGAGATAAGCGCTGCTGCTGCTGCTGCTGCTGCTGCTGAGGTGTGCAAGTCGGTGCATGTGATGGAGGATAACGGGAGGCGATACCTGCTGTGGTTCTTTTTCTTTTTCTTTTTTTGCCAGAGCAGCAGATGTCGCCTCAGCCCATTCAGTTAATCCAGAGCTGCTGTTTCGGTTTCAGTTGCTGTTCTCGGTTCTCACTCTGCTTCCTGTTTGTCTCCGAAGGCCTCGGTGGACGGCGGCCAGTTGCCCTGACAACCGCTAACCGCATGCCATTAGTCATAGTAAACAGCCCGTCTTTGAATACGGCGTCCCCGCTGTGTTTAGCTTTTTCTTTCGCAAGCTCCTTCGTTGGCCACACGTCGCCCTGCCCTCCTCTGCTCTAGTCTGCTGGACGTCGTCTCCAGAAAGTCCCTCCTCTACTTTCTATTCCTTATAACAGGACACTTCTTCAAATATTGGAATAAAAATACCGCCCACAGTGGCCACTGTTTAGCTAAATCCTCTCCTTTTGTTTCCAAATCTGCTGTCAGTTGCAGGAAAAACAAAAAAACCCCGTAAATGATACGTCAAACCACAATTACACTTGAACTTTTTTCCCTACTTTTGTCAAAACAGTGTATTCTGACATAAAAGGAGGATAAACTATTCTGCAAACTGATCATTCAGGCAGCTCTGCAGTCACGTCTCACCGACGCCATCTATTGTTCAAAAGGTAGATTTGCAGCTTTATGTCTGATTAAAGTCGAGGCTTCATCTGACTTATTTCTAAGTTGAGATAAACAGAAAAAGCATTTTAAAAATATACTAATGCCAGAAGAGAACTACAACCAAAAGGAATAATGTAAAATGTAAAGTCAAATATGAATATTAGTGAACTTATTTGTGAATTTTAAGCTTAATATGTCAAATACTTCCCAAGATATTAATAAAAAATATTCCTGTGGTCCGACTTTCAGCACGTTTTTTTTTTTTTTTTTTACACATTGAAATTTGATTCTGTTTGAAGGACGTTATCTCAGGAACTAATAAAGATAAAAGCCTGAAATTGTAACTGTTAGTTTTCATCATGACATGAATTCAGAATCTGTAATCTTGAACAAGTAGATCAAATAGTCCAAAAAAAATTAGGCCAAAGTAAAACAGTGACTTTTTGTTTGGAAGCAGATCTGTTTGCATGTCACAATAATACAAAACAATACGTTTAGAATACTTTTTAATATTAAAAAATAAGAAATATGCCCAAATTACAAGAATTATTTCTCAGTTATATTTGAAGAGCTGCCATTCTACCTGGATGAGGCTGTCTAGCAATATTTTTGTTTTTCTAGAACAACTAGTTATACCTGTGATTATGAAAGTTCAAGAAAATAACTTTATCTTTTTTTTTTTTTTTTTGCATTTTTGTGACTAAGTATTTACTATTAAAATATTTAATATATGTTGTCTTGTGTAATTGTGACATGCAGCTACATGGTTCGGAAAATCACAATTATTTTTGTTAACTTATTCTCAAAAATGGGACTTTTCATGACGGCTTAAGTTCTTTTTTTTTTTTTTTTCATATTTCAACTGACCCATAATTAAAGATTATTAGATCTACTTGCTCCAAAGTTGCTGATTCTGTATCAGTGACTTTTTAAGAAATAACAGTGAAAACTTCAGACTTTTAACTATATTACTTCCTGAGATATTGTCGTTCAAACAGCCTCAAATTTGTGTGAAATCTTGAGCGAAACAAACTGCTGAAAGTTGGTCGACGAGCAGTTCAAAAAATGGCAAAATCTTGGAATGTACTTTATATATTCATCCCAAATTTCACAGATACCGATTTTAATATCTGTAGTTTATGAGAAGAACGTTTCAAGCAAGTCAGAGATGATGGAGGAGGGGATGTGAGATGGAATAACACTTAGGAGAAAGATAAACACTCTTAAGAAGTTAGAATAGTATGTGTACTGAGGCCTACATGATTAAATATACAGATTCTAAAAGGCTGCTCTGGAGTATCGGACGCAGTTTTGAGTTTCCACCTTCAATCACCTTGTCACTCTGCACTTCATAATCTACGATCCTGTCAGTCACACCCAGGATGTTCTACATCTCCACCCTTTTGGCCTGCAAAGCCCGTTTTCCCTCCAAACCGCTGCGGTGAGAACAAAGAGTCACAGCAGGTCACGGCACCAAGAGTCTCACTGTTGTTGTTTTAAATGTCTCTTATTCGTATTACATAACATTAGATTCCTGTGTCTGACACCCTGAAGGCAACGGAAGTGGCTGGATAATGGATGCATTAAGGAAGTAAGTCAAAGTTACGTCAGCCTGATTGACTTTATTCAGTCAACAATCTGTTACTGCATATTTATTCTGTCTTCGTGTACTTGATATATCTTCTGTACACCCTCAGTGAGTATTTTATTTCCTCTTATTGTACGAATTGCAGGAGATCAATGAGCTAAAAACACACTCTGATTGTTTTGTTAATTTCCGTAAAGGCAATGATGCTTTATGTCTTTTCCTTATTGCAAAATGTTAGATATCGATGACAGCAAATAGCACAGACATCTGGAACTAAAGCTAAAGCATTATCTGGAATATTTCTTCTTCATTTTACACGTCAGACCTTGTTGTGTTTTTAAAATGTTTAGAAAACTCTCCAAGCATTTTTCAGTTTACATGACCATGTGATGGATCTCTAATGTGCTTGGAATCCACTGCATTATAAATCTGCTGTTCCAATACGTCATATGTGTGAACTTAACCTAAATAAGAATCTGAAGTGATGTCAGGATTTGCCAGCTTGAGCCTGAGAAGCTTTCTGACACTTCAGACCTTGTGATGATAAAACCAGCTGGTGCCCACACAGCAGAGGGAGGCTATAAAAAGTTCTCCCAGCTTGTTATCTTCATCGGCTGCTAAGGGGACCTGTGGAAGACTAAATCAGAAAAACCAAGAAAGGTTTCTGCTAAAATTGCACGTCTTTAGGCCATCAAGGCACATTAAGACTGTAGAAGAGCTGCAGGACGGTTCAGCTGATGAAGGAGAGAAGTCATCAGATGAAGCGTATCCTGCAACCTGGCTGCCACAAGGAGCACTGCTCAGATTAAAGAAGGATTCCAGCAAATTCTGGATGTAAAGGAATCGGTCCTTTGGGTACATCCAGATTTCTAAATCAAGAATAGAAGGACTCTTAGCAGGGAAGTATTTGCGAGCTGTGATACCTGCAAAAGTTTGTGAAATAGAAAATATCAGAAGAAGAAGAAAGGCTGGTTTTGATGTGTGCTTGCTGCAGGGCTTCACGTCTTCTCACTTCAAAAATCAGCCAACCATGTGATCTGCCTACAGATGCCCAAACCTACACACAAGAAGGGATTGCGTTCTGCATTCAGGAGTCAAGAAGCCACTTTGAATCTGTTTCCTGAAGCCGTCCGTCTAAGAGCTGTACGATTCCCCTTACAGGTGATAAATAACACCGTGTTCCTTCACAGCGTGGAGCTCCGTCACCGAGAGAACCTCCTATGGTTTCAGAGGTTTGGTTTTGTAGAGGTTTCAAAACTAAGTGGTTTAAAATCCTTCTAACCTTTTTTTTTCAGTGTCCTGGTTGATCCTGAAGGTTAGAATATGTTTCAACCTGAATGAAAAGTGCTTCTCTTTCCAGGCTCATTGTCAAGTCCTGTCCATGCCAGCTAATATCTGCGGGTGAAGACAGTCGGACATGCTGGTGTCACCTCCTGACCAAACCTGGATCATTTGATTGCATCATGATCGTAAACAAAAGCTGTCACCAGGCTAAAGTTAGTGCTTGTGCTCCTAGCCTTGATTATCATCCTACAGACTTGCTCTATGTGTGAACTGACGAACATATCCTGGTCAGAAATAACTACAAGGTTCCTCACAGTAGAACCGGAGGCCACATCTATCCCACCCAGCTTCACTGTCTGGCTCGCTGGTGTGCTTTCGAGGTGCTGAGACCAAATACAATAACTTCAGCTGTCTGAAATTTACAAGAAGAAAAGTATTTTTTTTTGCATCCACACAGTCACATATGTCAAAGTCAAGGCCCGCAGGCCACAGCCGCCCGCTGGTGTTTTGCAGGCACCAACACTACATTCCCCACAATGCAACGGTAGCTGCGAAGTCGTGGAGGAAGCAAGCGGCTTCATTATTCATCAGCAGTCAGAGCAGAGGTCAACTTTCAGCTACCCCCCTCCTCAAAAATGGCTAAACGGAAGGTGGATGCTGAGAACAGGGGGTTTCAAGCCAGGTGGAGGCAGAGTTCATGTTCATGGAGGTAAAAGGCAAACCTGTGTGTCTTCTGTGTGGAGCAGTAACGTGTTTTCAGTTTTTAATTCAGTTAAATTTTTACATTTGTTTCAACAAGACGTGATTTTTCTTTGAGGGAAGTATTGTTTTGTATTTAATGTAATTTTATTTTATTGTATTTTATTTATTTATATTTATTTTTCAGTTGAATGTACTCAGGGAAAATTGCAGAAAAGAGTCATGAGAAAGAATACAACTGATTTTATTTATTTATTTTATTTTCTCAGTTTACTATTTGAAAGCAGTGATTGGTCGGATCATAGAGCAGCACAATAATGCATTTCCAGTTTATAATGCATGCAGTTTCATCTATGCATTTATATTGATATTAAGAAACACATTTTGTTTTTAAAGGACATTTACTTTTTTGCTGTTTGCCTGTTGAAAATGTTTCACCTTGAAGTTACTGACAGAGCCATAACAAAACATTGCTTTATTCATTTAATGTACAGGACATGTGATTTTTCTTT